AAAAAGGCAAAAGTCTCGAGAGCAGTCAGCACCCGTCATGTTTTCTACGCAGTGGTAATCGCACAGAACGAAAAACGAAAAAAAATTGAAAAAAAAAATTACAGATCAGTTTGATTTTTGTTTTCTTTGCTATTTAAATTCTGAGATAGATGTACATTTAATTCCTGTTTTAATTTGATAGTTAATAGACCTAATTTTTTTTTCTCCTGCCCAGATGATCAAAGTCACTGATTCTTCTTATAGGAAGCTGTTCCCATGGGGCGCCACTCATTAAATCTCATGATTTAGTTAATGAAGGGTTTTCGCGAAATCGACACTGATCCCCTCCGCAATTCTGCCGTTAAAAAGTCCGATTTCGATAATTCACCGAAGAATTCCCCTGGTTCTGTCTCGTCCGAGGCAGAACCGAGTATTCGACACAGCAACCATAAAAAATCGGAAGCGATTTGGTCGGTAATCTGGCCGACAACCATACCGATTTTCGGAATTTCGAATAGTAATCGCACCGAAAGCGAGTCGAAGAATAGCGGTGGTAGTGTTATTAGGAAAAAATCGTCGAGTGGTAGTAAGAATTATTATGAGGGGTGGAGAGGTGCAGTGAGGAGAGTGATGATGAATGGTGTAACAATGAGGAGAATTTGGGGGTTTAGTAGGGCAACCACTTCTTCTTCGAAGAGCAATATTTGGCTTTTGGGGGTTTGTTATCAGGTTTCTCAAGAAGGAGAGGAATCTTCTTCGGATCCGACTCAGAGCGAGGGGTTCGCTGCATTCGTCGAGGATTTTTCTTCGCGGGTTTTGATAACTTATCGTAAAGGTACCCTTTCTTTCTTTGTCGGGTTTTTGTCACTTGTCTGAAATGGGAATGGTAATAATTAAATGACGAGGTTTTTTGTCGGATCTTGATCTTGTAGGGTTTTCGCCCATTGGAGATTCAAAGTACATTAGTGACGTAAATTGGGGTTGTATGCTTCGAAGCAGCCAGATGCTCGTTGCTCAGGCATACTACTACACGTGTTTCTTTTTCGTTAGTTTCTTTATTGATTTTTTTTTAATGAGATTACTTTGCTGATTTTATTCCCCCCTGTGTTGTTTAGGCGTTTCTTGTTCATAAATTAGGAAGATCGTGGAGAAAATCTCCCCACAAGGTAATATAAATAACTGAAATTCTAAATGTCGTTTCAATTTTACTGATACCGTTTGACCCTTTTCGAGTCTGATTTTGTTAAAATTTAAAACGTGGATCCTGTAATCTTTTGAGTTAGCTTTCTAATCCAACTTGAATCAGCTAGATTGGATGTCAGTTTACAAATTTATGCATGAATCAATTACATTTTGAATTTTAAATAACTCAAAACCTCATTCATGGATATTTTTTCTCACACGACATTCAATATCACTGATTCAGCTCGAATTAAAAAGCTAACCCAAAGGACTACATATTTTGCGCTCTGAGTTTTTGCGAAACTCATACTCGAAAAAACAGTCAAAAATCACATTTCAGGTCGACACAGTATCAGTAAAATCGAAACGGCATCCATCACCTTCCTATGAATAAATTTCCATTTGATGGGTGATACATAATGCTGATACTCGTTTCTTTCTTCAAACTTGTGTAGCCACTTGACCAAACTTACGTAGAAATACTGCATCTATTCGGAGATGCTGAAGATTCCCCTTGTTCGGTGCACAATCTTCTCCAAGCGGGAAAGGCATACGGGCTTGCTCCAGGCTCGTGGGTCGGCCCGTATGCTATGTGTCGTACATGGGAAAGCTTGGTGCGTAATAAAAAAGAGGAAATTGGTAATAATGGGGTATTGGCATCAACGATGGCGCTATATGTGGTTTCTGGTGATGAAGATGGTGAAAGAGGTGGGGCCCCCGTTGTGTGCATTGAGGATGTTTTGAGGCACTGTTCCGAGTTTGGTGGAGGCCAAGTTGATTGGGCTCCTATTTTACTGATGGTTCCTCTGGTTTTAGGTCTTGAGAAAGTCAATCCAAGGTACGGTTATATGCTAATAATTTTTTTTTTGAAGAGATGGAAAAAGTAAGTGTCTAAGATGGTTTATTTAGATTTGATAGTTTGTGTAGCGAAAAGGAACTTGGCCAAAAAGGAAAACTTTGTCATGAATATAATCCAGCTGCTAGGCCTCGTTTTGGTTGGGAAAATTAGCCATGATTAATTAAATAATTGGACTATGTTTGATGTTTGGTAAACCCAATAATTTCCCGGATCGACCCGAAAATAAATTTTATTATGGCTATCTTGACTTATTGGGAGATTATTTATTGGATTTTCATTAAGGCCTCGTTTGGTTGGGGAGATTAGCCATTATTAACTAAATAATAGGACTTTGTTTGATGTTTGGTATACCCAATACCTTGCCGGGTCGACCCGCAACTTTTTATGTTCTCGTGGCTTATCTTGCCTTATCTTGTCTTTTAGTTAGTTTTTAGTTGGACGTCCCGGGATCCGATAAAATAATTGGTTTTCATTAGATTATTTAATCTTATCTTGGTTAATGTGATCTTGGCAACCAAACGAGGCCTAAGATTATTAATCTTATCTTGGCTAATCTTATATTAGGAACCAAACGAGGCGTAGTACATATTTTCTCGTAAAAATCAAACTATTTTTGTAAAATAACAACGTGAAGCTACATTCTGATACCTATTCGACTCTAATTCAGGAAAAAAGAACAACTAAACTTATATATATATCGTGATAGTAAATTCAGCAACGACAACTAATTTTTGTTTATTTTTTTTATTTTTAACAATATCTTGTTTTGGGATGCAGGTATCTTCCACTACTGAGTGCTACATTCACGTTTCCGCAAAGCCTTGGTATTTTGGGGGGTAGACCTGGTGCCTCTACATACATAGTCGGCGTGCAAGACGAAAAGGCCTTCTATCTCGATCCACATGAAGTTCAGCAGGTTAATACAATTTATTTTTTTAATTTTAATCTGTTAAAAGTATTTAAGTATGCTCTTTTATGGTAATATTTAATGAACATTAATCCTGTTTTCTTGATTTACTCACTTAAAAAAAGTATCATGTTTGATCTGGTGCTGATTTTTTATTATTCGCCAAGATTTTTTTTTGTCATGTTCGGATCCACATGCTCGTTATTAGTAGTATGCTCCCTTTTGTCGTTTACGTTTCTATGTTGCAAGAGATAATTATTGTCTTTCAATTAATTATTAGGGTTGATTACAACGACTTCCCCTCGGAGATGATGTAATATTGAGCTTAGATCTCTTAAAATATAAAAGAAAGCTTAGATCTCTTAAAATATAAAAGAAAATTCAAACATAAGTTATCAATCGACTCATTTTCCATTGATGCTTCTGTTAAACATTTAAAAGTGAAAAAAAAGGAAAAAGAAAACGGAAAACCAAAGGACAACTGTACACTCAACATCGAGAACTAATATTTGCAAGACACGTATAACTCAAACAAATACATGCCGTTAAAGTTGAAGTAGAGTTTAGTCGATGATTATGCTATTTTCAGGTGAGGTCTTTGTAGTTAACCCTGATTAGTAATGAAGAACCCGTCGTGATCATACTGAATCTCTTGTACAGTTATGACGATTATACTTCTTGATCAGTACTATCGACTACTATCTATTTCTTGATTATTATTATTATTTTTTTAATTTTTGTTTTTTATGATTTTTATTTTGGAAGTTGGTGGTAATTCAGTAGAAGTTACACATCGAGCACGTGTCGATTTTCATCGGAATATTTTCCCATGTACATTGAGCACGTGTCGATTTATGTTTAATTTTTTTTTAGTTATTACGTTTTTTTTCTATGCTTGTAGAAGATCCTAAACTTTGATTATCTGCTGTAAATATTATTAAATATTGCTATTCATTCTATCGGCAGGTAATCGACATTAAGAGGGATAATCTAGATTTGGATACTTCGTCTTACCATTGCAAGTAAGTTAATCCTACACAATCAAAATTTTCTTCCTTAAATAAAAAAAAAAAAACGATTTTCCATTCACCTAAAATATCATTTCCTAACTTCTCTAAACTCTTACTTAATAGTGTCGTGAGGCATATTCCTCTGGATTCCATCGATTCCTCCTTGGCCATCGGATTTTATTGCAGGGACAAAAGTACGCCATTATTTATTATTATTATTATTATTTTTTTTTTTTCGTCAACCGTTGGATCACATTGTTTTTGCTGACAGGTGATTTTAATGATTTTTGTGCACGCGCATCGGAATTAATCGATCAATCGAACGGGGCCCCACTATTTACAATAGCCGAGACACGCACTTCAGCAAAGCCAGCCGGTAACAATAATACCGAAATTGAAGATAATAATACTGCTGATAATGACCTGGCAACTGAGAATTGTGCACAAGAAGACGACTGGCAACTTCTTTGAACACCGAACGAATTTACAGCTGAATAAGACATTTTATATATTAGAAAAAAAAGAACACAAAAAAAACTTGTATATAACTTTTCAAAGATGTGATTTGTGGTATGTTTGTAGGGCCAACAACCACTTAGGTTACCTCTTTGAACTATTAAATTTGTGTGTTTATTTTTATTTTTATTAATTTCTCGACTTATTTGTTGCTTCTAACATACAAAGATGATGTTCTTTTAGGTTTCATCTCTGAAAAAATATTTTATTTTTAATTGTTGATGAAGGAAGGATTCAAGGTGATTGTTTTAATGGTTCAAGTTTTTCGAACTGTTTTTACAAAAAGTTTATTTTTTCTTTTTCATAACCGAGCTCGAGTTTGAATTGATTGTTTTCGTTAAACAAAAATATGTTCGAGTTTGTTTCCTTATGTTAACGAATCGAGCTTAATCAATTGATGTTGTATTAAATATTGAGTATGTTCAAGTTGATTTGTATTGAATATTGAGCTTAATCAACTGATTTAATTTCAAGAATCTTGCAATATGCGTGACAGATTAAAATGCACTAAATGTTATGTTGTATTTCGAAACATAATCGAACAAAATTTGGATAGAGGTTTGATTAAAAAAATGTAGTGGATTCAAGAACTTGGTTCTTTCTTCTTAAGACATTTTTGCTATGTACAATGATTTTGTGTATATCCAATGATTTTATCGGTTTGTTCTCCTTAAAAAGTATGTACAAAATCATTGGATATAAACAATAAATTTTGTCGGTTTACGACAATTCTCTCCAAAATAGAAGAGTGTTTCAGTTCCAACAAAGTAGGACAATTCTTGGAATGCGACGAACAAAATGACATTGTGGTCTTTCACAAGGCACGAAAACTAAGGCTAGGTTTTGCAGTAATTTGCAATGAGAGATTATAAATGCTCGGATACAGAAAAGAATTCAAATTGACTGTCTTTGATTTATGACATAATTCAAATGGTGGATTTTGAAATATATTTATAATTTTCAAATGTTATGATTAAAAGTTACAACTCTTAAGAAAATGATCACATGAAAATACACCGCACCATTTTGCCTATTTGATTTAAGAGGTGTTTAAGTAACTCAATCATTTTCAATGGTGACTATTCACCTCTTCATGTTTCATTTAGTTATTTAAGTAATTTATTAATTTCTTATTCACCTGATTTTGAGAAACTTATATTTAATTCACTCACTTAAATTTAATTCACTTAAAAATGATTTCTTAATTATTTTTTTATGTGGTTATAACAACAAAAAAAAAAAAAAAAATTGTCAATTGAATTGCTGTTGAGCTAATAATATTATGGATAGATTATATCTACAATATTAATTTAAAATCAAACTTGTTTAGTTGTTCAAAAGCTCGTTAGGTTGAGCTTGATTAGCATGAAGTATAGTCCTAAAAATTTAGATGCGAACTAGTTCGGCTCGAGCTCGACCTTAAGCACTACAAATTTAGGCTCGAACAAGTTCAACCCTGGTTCGAGTTCATAGAAATTTACTTAAGCTCGGGCAAGCTTGATTCGAACTCGACTCGTTTACAACTCTACGGTACAATAGTCCAATTTGAATAGCTATTTTTTTTCCCTTTTTTCGGTAACGAAGGAACTCGCAGCCAACCATATAAGTGCATTTGGTAAACTTATAGTTTGCAAACCATACGAAAGACGTAAACTACACAAGGCTAAATATATGTGATAAACTCGACCTAGACCGATGGCAGAGAGATTCAGACTTGGTTCAGTTGACACAAATTCATTTACTCCATTCGTTTGGTCATCCCTTGCGGGACAACTTATTTCTTTCTATTATGATTTCAAATGTACAAATTTGTGGTAGTAAGTTGAATTATCAACCATTAAATTAATGGACAAGTAACGAATCTTTATTTAAAGACAACAACTATTTGCAATCCCAAATCTTCTCATGGCAAGACCTTACTTAGTGGAAAATTATAATATAAATAAACTTACTAAGAGCCGGATTGAAAATTACGAATAAAACCACAATATATATTTTGATATTATTTATTCAAATTAGACCTGATTACTATTGCAAGATCAAAAAAAACAAAATGAAAAACGAGAGCGTACGCTCTAGCAGGGGAAGAGAAGAACACAAGGTCTGCCCCCACAAACAAAATCCACCCTCTTTTTCTTCACAAACTCATTCCACTTATTTTCTCCAAACAAACTTTCTTTCATATTCTCCAAACGCCCTCAACACCCAAAGCCCTCAAATCCTACCAAAACTTGCAAATGAAGACATTATGAACTCACAAACAATATGGAGGATTCTAAGGTCGATGAACACAATGCGGTAAGAAATATTGAATTATTTTTAGCTTGGTGGTCGTTTTTCAAAAATAAAATCCCACAAAAAAAAAAAATCGATGTATATAGGTTGAATTTTGTAAAAAAATAACGACATCTTGAAGTCGATATTATACAACTAAAATCGACATTGCTATTAGATATCCACAAAAAATGACATACTAGTGCCGAAATTAGGCAAAAAAAGGACAAGTGCAGGTCGTTTTGTGTGGACCGCATCTCCTTCAACAGTGGTGGTGGAAAACCCTAAAATCATCCACTTTTTTCACATAGTCCCCTAACTGTGTTCTTAATGGACTTATTATATTCATTATTCTAACAGCAAAATTTCAATGGTACTCATGATCAGGGGCGGACCCAGGGGTGTTTTCTTGGGGGGGCGGAAATATAGGGGTAAATTAAGAGATAAATTTTTTTTTGTTTTTAGGGACTAAAATGTACAAAATTAAAAGTTTGGGGGGGCGAAAGTGTATAAACTAATACATAAATACCCAAAAAAAAAAAAAAAAAAAAAAAAACAGCTTAAAAAAAAATCTTGGGGGGGCGGGGGCCACCCCAGCCTTAGGCGTGGGTACGCCCCTGCTCATGATTATCACATTTTTGTTTTAAAAAAACTTAATTAAAAAAGTAATTCCTTACATGGTTTTCCAGGCGATGCACCGATGGACTGTGGCGACAACACTTGTAGGTGGCGGGGGTTGTGGCGACAGTGACGGTCATCGACTGCGACGGTGGTGGGGCAGACATTGTGTTCTCCTCTTCTCTCGACTTATTTTCTCCAAACAAACTCTCTTTCATATTCTCCAAACGCCCTCAACACCCAAAGCCCTCAAATCCTACCAAAACTTGCAAATGAAGACATTATGAACTCACAAACAATATGGAGGATTCTAAGGTCGATGAACACAATGCGGTAAGAAATATTGAATTCTTTTTAGCTTGGTGGTCGTTTTTCAAAAATAAAATCCCACAAAAAAAAATCGATGTATACAGGTTGAATTTTGTAAAAAAATAACGACATCTTGAAGTCGATATTATACAACTAAAATCGACATTGCTATTAGATATCCACAAAAAATGACATACTAGTGCCGAAATTAGGCAAAAAAAGGACAAGTGCAAGTCGATTTGTGTGGACCGCATCTCCTTTAACAGTGGTGGTGGAAAACCCTAAAATCATCCACTTTTTTTCACACAGTCCCCTAAGTGTGTTCTTAATGGACTTATATTCATTATTCTAACAACAAAATTTCAATGGTACTCATGATTATAACATTTTTGTTTTAAAAAAACTTAATTAAAAAAGTAATTCCTTACATGGTTTTCCAGGCGATGCACCGATGGACTGTGGCGACAACACTTGTAGGTGGCGGGGGTTGTGGCGACAGTGACGGTCATCGACTGCGACGGTGGTGGGGCAGACATTGTGTTCTCCTCTTCTCTCGACTTGCTTTCCCTCTTGTTTTTCAAATCTTTTTTTTTTTTGTTTGGTCTTGTAATAGTAATTGGGTCTATTTTGTTTGTATTTCAGTAAGGGCATCATAGTTATTTAATAGGAAATTTGATTTTGTCTTGCCCTAAGTAAATTGTGCAATTACATATAGTGGCGCCTTATTTAAATTATGGGTAATTTACACCCACCTCTCTTGAACTGTGATTTTTTCACGGGAGGTGATATTCGCGGTAGCAAAATTACGAAGAAAATCCACTCTCTACTTATCTTTCTCTCTCTAAATTTTATTTTTAATAGTTTTTATATCAGAAATCGTTCCAAAATCCATGGTATTGCAAGAAAAATGAGTGCATCGAATGAGGATCGAGATACGGAACCCAATGAGGTAAAATTTGTTCGTTTTTTTTCTTTAAATCGCGAAAACGCGACTTACGACCAATTTGGACGCCCGAAAAATACGTTTCACGACCAAACTGGGCGCAAAAAAGCTCGTTTCACGCCCGGTTTGGACGCGCAACACAGCTTTCCGCGCCCGGTTTGTGCGCGCGTGCTGTCTATGTTTTAAGAAAAAAAAATGATATAATTGTGCTGCTACAAGGACTCGAACACAATAAAAAAAATGATATAATTGTGCTGCTACAAGGACTCGAACACAATAAAAAAAAAATGATATAATTGTGCTGCTACAAGGACTCGAACACAAGTCTGACAATTGAAGTACCAACTTGCCTAACCAATTAGACTAGAGCTATTTTGTTAACAAATTCTTATTTAACTCTAATTACTTATTTCATTATACTGGGCAAAAAATTAATAAATACACATTGCTATCAAGACTCAAACACGGGTCTATTGTGAAATAATCAAAACACCTGACCGACTAGGCTACAACGAGTTTGTTAATAAATACTTATTTAAATATAATCATTCATTTCGGTTATGCTGGGCAAAAAAAAAAATTTGAACCGGACGACCGGTCCAGAATCGGTGTCTGGACCGAACGCCCGTACTAATTTTCCACGCTCATTTTGGACGTGGAAAATTCGAAAACCCAACACTAAAAACAGCCTCAAATCGCGATTTTCTGTGGATTTTCACATGATTAACCACAAATTCAATATACATAACTACTTTAGATGATTAATTACCTCTCAGATTGACGAGATTTTCGGATTTGGGAGGATTTGTGAGAGAGGTTGAGGGTTTTTGTGAATTTTGGGGCTTTTGGGGATTGGGTGGATTTGAGGATTTTTAGAGAGAGAAAGAGAAGACTATTGTGAACGACATTCGTAATTTTGCTGCCGCGTAAATCATTTCAGTTTTTTTCACAAGTACACCCCAAACATTTAACCATTTGGCATATCCACCCCTCTATCCATTTTTCCGTCAGTGGTCCGTCATGAGGTCAAACGTTTGGAATGTATCTGCCAAACAATCAAAATCCAGTGGAGGTGGATCCAAAT